ACATAGTCAGGAGATGCAATTACACTCATTATGAAGTATTTGCATGCTTTAATTCAATTTACCAAGAAGTCATTTTAAAATGCACATATAAGGCATATGATTATATAAACTTAGTTTATTTAAATTAATACATCAATGCACGTAAAAGTTCACTTTTAAGCATTTTAACTACTGCCTTCTGCTCGCTTGTAAACATGTTGCAAAATCCACTTTTAATTTTCTAAATTCACATATTTGAATTATTTTTAAACCATAGGAGTCAAGTTTGAAAGCCCAAAATTTTAACTTTTTAAGACCCTGAGTGCTTAAATGTAAAGCTCAAAATTTTTAATACATTTAAGCTTAAGGAGCCTAAATTTCAAAAGTCTAGAATTTATAGTATTCTTAGAAACTCTAAGAGCCTACATTTCAAAGTACCAAATTGTCAAATATTTTAAATTTAAAATGATTCATATTTTCTTTTTTTTTAAAAATAATTTTATAACTGTGGAAGTCCATGGTTCTATTTTATTTACATATCCAAATCCATCACATTCCAACTAGGCTCCCTTTATGAGTCGGTTGAGGTGCGACAAGGGTGGACAATTTAGTTGGATAAGTTTATCAACCACTTGGTCCTAATTCACACCTCTCAGAATCGAACCAAAATTTTTTTATAAAATTTTGCATGTCGAATTGATCAATTCAATATACAACACTATGCATGAATTTTGAACGGATTGAGAGATAAAATTTTAAAGTTACGAGCTTAATTATCTTTAATTAAACCTAATTATTTCTAATGTCTCGTGCATACACTGTAGACAGCGCCTTTCTCTGCGATATTTATTGTTGGTTCGATCGAACTGTGTCTCCAAAGCCTTTGAAATTCCTCTCTTATCCTGATTTCCTTCTCACTGTTTCGATTTTGCTCGGCACAAGGGATCCAGATAGAGCACCGATCCTGACATTGTAGCCGCACGATCCTTGCGACCCGCAGAGGGTCACAAACTTTGATTCAGCGGTCCGAGAGGAAATCTTGTTTTACGAAGCTCACTTTAACGCTCATAGAAATGTTTCTTTCCTTTCTCACACTTTTCTTTTGTCATTTGCCTCGATTTTGTGCACTTCTTTATTTTCGGTCACTGTAACAAGTGTCGAACTTGTGTCAGAAGCGTCAAATTTGGTTTGTGTGCTTTTGTAAGGGTTTCAGCACGAAATTAGTGAACGGGAAGGGAGGAGTGATGTGTTATAGGAAGAGGGGAGAAGTTTAGGTGGATGGGAGAAATGTTGGGTTATGCTAAGAAGCATGCTTGAGGTATGTGTTGCCATTTAAGACATGTTTTGGGTTAATACACGTTACAAAACAATTTTGATGAAACCCCAAGTTGCTTAAGAATTTTCGCGCGCCGAGCGCGAGGTGAGCATGAGGAAACTCATCGTAAAGCTATCCAGTTAAGTAAGGTAATAATCTTGTACTAACTTAAGAAAAATAATATTCTATAGGTTTTATATGATTTTACATTTGACATGGATGCATTTAAAATTTTCTTGTAAATTGTGGATGAATTTCTGCATTGAATGTATGAATGCAAGTTGATTTCTTCTTACAATACATGGATGTTATTATGTTTTGTTCATGCTACGATACATATGACCATGATTATTTTAAAAGTTTCCTGCATGTATTCATTTTCTATGATTCATGCATGCATTATATGAAATGCTTATGAATGTTTGATACAGATAGTATGCTTTAAGAAATGTCATAAGGAATGTTATGGGTAGAGTATTAAATGAGCGCTTGCAGGTATGTTATGTAGGGATGTGATATTCCCTAACTCCTGATGTCCAAACAATGTCGAAATTTTGTGAACCTTTTTTATCAGGCAGTGACATAACATAAGGAATCATTGGTATCAACGGGGCTATTGATAACTACACTTTTGGGGGCCAACTCTCGTCGATTGTTAATATGACCTTTGAGACAGAACGACGACCCATGATTTGACAGGACATGAAAATAGTTGAGGCTTATAAATTTACTAATGACATTACTATGATGGCACTGCTATGATGACATTATTAAGATTATATTATTATGAACATGCTTATGAATATATGCTTATGACTATACATAGTTTATACAACCGCCATGATTTTCTGTGCTGTCTGCTTTCTTTTCATATTTTACATGATTCTACCATGTTGTAACTTGTGTGTAAATATGTACAGTTTAATACAAGCATACATATTGTCTCTCTTACATGTAAAATTTTATGTTAGCTTTGATTATTTTGTTACTCATTTGACGTTGTCTAATTTCAGGAAGGGGGAAGGAACATCGGGGCGAGTAGCTATGTATGAGTTGTACAACTTTTGTAATATATAGTTTTGGGAGCTTATATAGTTTGTGGGTACACACCTTTATTATGTTGGATTTAGTAGTTTTGTATAATTATATATTTTGATTATATTATTTTTCACGCTTCTGATTATGAATATGAATTAATTATGAAATGTAATGTATGACGTATGTTTGCAACAATTTAGCTAGAATAATTCATCACCATTGGGTCATGATTCTATAAATTTGGATGAATGTTGGTGAGAAATTAGTTTGTTCAAATTGTTCTCTTTTGCACCTCAGTCGACTCTTAAAAGAGGGGGGAAGATGGAGTGTGACAAAATCACCTGAAAATTTTGTAGCCTCTCGGCATCCACCTTTGTTAGAAGACACCGAGAGAATGTCAACCTTCCCAACTGTCTTAAAAGACTCCCTGGTCAGTGCTGCGAAATACTGAGGGCTGAAGAGCAAAACATGCATGTAAACCCATAATCTTAAAAGACACTATAAGCTTCAATGTATCTGAAAAAAAAGTCAAATCACAAGCAAGCATTTCCTCGAGCAGCACTTTTTTTGAATGGTGATTTATTCCCAAGGACGAGTATTCGTGATTGTCAGGACAAGCATTTTAAATCTATAATTTTATAAAACCTTTCAAATGAGTTTGCACTTCTTCCAAATGGTACTTAATTTCTAAGGGGGCTCAAGTGAACATTTTGAAAAAAATTGTCATATTGCCCCATTTTCTTACTTTCTTGAGTGAAGCGACGATATTTACGACGATCTACAATGACAACGATGAATAATGAAATAAACAATTACAACGATTTTTTTTTTCTTTTTTTTAATGAATTTTATGTAATATACAATCTTGATACTAATAATAAAAAAAAGAGAAATGCTAACCTTAGGGTATTAGTGGCTCGGGTATGTGTCTATAGGTGCTTGTGTTCAATTTTGTCTACCAACAAGGTGTCGGAAAGGGCGTGCGACCAAGATTGAGCAGCCTCGATTTCGGGTTAGGGCAGAGGGTGCAGCTTGGTTCAAGTTTGGGTGATTGGGCTCGAACGAATTAAGGGTAGAGGGGTTGTGGTTTCAGTTTAGTGCAAGAAGGATCACACCCGGGAGAAATGACTCAGGAGCAAGGAAGGCAAGAAGGATTGGGTCACGTATGAGGCAGTGTAGGGAGGGACAACGGAGTTGGAAATTTTTGCGGATAGGAGCTGTGCATCACAATCTTGGTGTTGATTTCCTAGCTAGCCTTTGACGCAGTTGTTTCGTAAGAATTGCGGTACGAAAGGGGAGACGAAGTAGGCGTGCGATTTTTCGATGGCGAGAAGAACTGTCAAGGCGTGGATTCTGACGCAGGGAGGGACGTTGTGCGAAGGAGTGGATGTCGTCTTCAGGCTAGGCATAGAGACTCTCGCATGCGGGGCTAGGGTAAAGCGGAAGAGAAAGTTGGGCGGCTTCCTGCTGCAAGAATGATGAGGGATTCTGAGGTCGTTATTCAGTACGATCCCGTTGTTGCTTTTTCTTCTAGTTTGTTATGGGTTTAATTTGTTCACCGTAATTAAGGAAGCGGGAAGAGATGCAATGCGTGTGGGCTTTGAATAGAAGCGGACAAAGTGGAGATGAGGGAGTAGCGACAAACAGGAAGAAGGAGAAGGAAGGCTAGGGGGTTTTGTGTGGTTTTAAAAGTGAGCGGAGAGGGAACAGTGGGAAGACGAAGAGGTTTTGCAAGGGCTTCGTGCGGTTGTTTTGAAGTGAGCCAGGGGGATGAAAGAAATACTTCTTATCTATTTGTAACCAAGGAAGCGCGG